AAGCAAATAATGAGATAAAACCTAACTAAAATAACAGTTCTAGAATAGTGTCTTGCATGTATTAATAATTCTTTCGTTTAGAAGTCTTTTTAACGGATGACCAATGTTAGAACTCGCCTTAATGCTACTTGCCGGACCAAGGAGGTAGATAATAGGAAAAAAATTATCAACATAAATTTAGTGTATACTATCTAATAGGCTAGTATTGATTGGTACGAGGTAATAACTTAGTCAAATATCGAATACGATGCTTAATATGAGGTAAAGATAAGGGTTAGGATAGCAACACACGTAGCCGGACCAAGGTGCGGAGTGAGATTTTCTAGATGCCCGACCAAGGATTTAGAAATACATAACTTATCACTTTGCATGCAAGATACTAGGAAAGAATTGTTATAGTTAGAATTATCAAATTATGAACCTGTGGGGAACACGTAAACCCTAGTTACTTTGATTAATTGATTAAAATCCAACATTCAAAGCTGTTAAGTGTCTCTTTCAATTTAGGTAGTTATTATCATTCATTTAGAAATAGAAACCCCCCTTTTATTGGTTTTACTTTCCAAGGAAGTCATTGACTAAACAAAAGTAATAATAGATTGAAGTTAAGTCTAGACTATTTTCCTCGTGGGAACGATCCCAACCTCACTAGTTGGGTTATTTACTTGACACGCCCGCTTTACTTCTTATTTGAGAAGTAAGTTTGAGCGTATCAAGCACTCTAAAAGTAATGTTAGCTCTTCAAGTGCTGGTGATCAGAAACCATGATTCATTCACATTGCTTCTATTGCATTATTATGTTTGAATATTATTTCATGTATCTTATGGTAAGGGATGTGACTGGACATGCGGGAAAGTTATGGAGATCTGATTTTCCCTTCATCTTTTCGTACTAGTTCCTAAATGATGTACTTTTAATACCTAGTTGATTTCAACACTCTAAAGTACATCTACACATCATAAAATCATTCATAAACATGAGATCATGTCCCTTCAATTCAAAAATCCAATTCAAACAAAGTTAAAATTAAAGTCAAAGAAGTTAAGAAGCAAGTCAAAGTGAGTTCTTAAAGTTTTCAAGAGTCTTAAACAAACATTTTAACTTTGTTTTAAGGCTCAACCTACAAGTTAGCGATGAGTAATGGGTTGAGTCTAAATCTCAAAAGCTAAAAGGGAACTAACTATTCCCTAAGAGTAAAGTTTCAAATAAAGAAAAGAGCAAAGAGTGAGTTCATTTCTCAAAAGCTATAAGGAAACTCAGTAGTCCTTAAGAGTTACAAATGTTTTTACATTTTGAGAAAGAAGGAAGCTAGACTTCCACAGAGCCTTTGGATAGTTTTAGACAATGGGAAAAATATTTCCAAAGAGCTTTTAAGGCTAAGTTTGAGCAATCACCTCAAACCAGGGAAGAAGTTATTTTTAAAACATATGAGCTAAGTATTTTGGGTGTAATATTGAGCACCGATATGAGGACGAGAGTTCATATCAACTTAAGTCTCCATAAACCATGTAGCCTACATGGACAGATAAATGATGAAAGTTTTTAGATGATTCCGTAGTGTTTTCTAGCATAGACTAGTGGATTCACTTAGTAGTTCTGGTTCTATACTGATGGCAAGGTATAAATCGGTCCTCTTGAAACGTGAGGTAATACATTTTAACACCACTTGGGCTCATAGTAATGATTGTCGGTTAGAGAATCTCCCACAGAAATTATATTACTTTCATATATAAGTAAAGTTGAGTTTATTATTGCATTATCTTTAATGAACTAAGTGTTTATACTGTTTTACAAGCTTTATATATATTGCATTTACCTTTATTGCTTTATATTGAGTTGTTATTCCATGAGTTGAGTAGAGTCAAGGTAAGTCCATCATTAATCCTTTCAAGCTTAGTAGTTGTTGTTTAGCATTCCAACTCGCATACTCGTACATTTAATGTACTGATGGCAGTTGGCCTGCATCATCTTATGATGAAGACGCATGTAACCAGGATCAGCATCCAGCGCCTCGTTGATCCAGCTTGAGCATTCAGAGTCAGCGGTGATCCTCCTTGCATTCTGTAAGACTCGTTAATTGCTTTCCCTATTTTCTTTATAGAATGTTGTGGGGTTGTCCTAACATTCATCTTAGTAGTAGTAAAAGCTTCATAGGCAGATAGATAGTCAGATAGTTTAGTTTTGGTCTCTTTTTATCTTACATATCAGATTTTTTAACTTTGAGACTTAAGTGTCATTTTGGCCAAGATAATTGTTTAAAGTATTTTCTCTTTAGAATGTTCCAGCTTTATACTTGAGTTAACTTAAGTCTTCCGCTGAGTTAAGTGAGTCATGCCAAGGGTTTGCTTCAGGTCAGTAATGATTGTTGGGTACCGGCCACGTCTAGGGTGTAGGCTTCGAGCGTGACAATAACTACATAGGAATTACAAGTGTACTATTTTATCGCACATGTGTAGTCAAATGTTATATTGAATTTTAAAAATATTGCTTTTATATTGTACAAATAAGAGCCTTTATAAATGATATTAGGTCTAATATTTAAGATGTATATAGTAGTCCAAAAATATATTAATTAATAAAAATATATTCTCAACAAACAATATAAAAAACAATTGATTCATATTCTTCAAATTAGTATATTTTATTATATTAATAAAAAAACTTAAAGTACAAAATTTTCATGGACATCACGAAGTGCAAGTTTGGCAAAAAGATGAATATTATAAATATAATGTCTGTGATATAGTAAAATTATCGCCTATTTATAATTTCTTAATTAAGGAATGTGTCAAATTAAATATGAACAAGTAAAACTGAACTGAAGAAATAATAGTTAATACTCTCTTTGTCCACTATTGTTTGTCATAGTTTCTTTTTTTGGATTCAAACTATAAGAACTTTAACTAACATTTGAAGATTATTTTTTCATCATATTGATATGCAAAAAGTTGCAATGTATAGTACTTTTCATATAGTTTTCGCATATTTAAATATTTTGTTTAAAATATCGAATTAACATAATCTAATTTAACTTTAAAAATTAATCAAATTGACTTTCGAAAAATGCAACATGACAAATAAAAGTGAACGGAGGAAGTACATGGATAAATCAAAGCACAATTGTATATGAACAAGGTTAAATGCATTTAGTCATATGATATAACAAGAAACTTGTCAAGAATTCATGGACCAGGAATACCGATCTTCCCAAAACCAGATGAAAGAGCAACTTGTGTGAGATTAAAGTGAATAGCACATAGCGGAAACATACTGCTCACATGAATTATAGATAACAACCACATGGTTAATAGTCTATTTCTACAACAAGAGTAGATAAGTTACATAACGGTATATATATTGTTGCAATAAATAAATCATACAAACTACAATCAGACATTTAGGAAATAATTGGAGGAAAAAAAAACCATATTGTCACAACCTAAAAAATAAAACAAACAGAGAAATATAAAACATAGATATATAGCCTCCATAATATTATTATGTACTTATGCTCGGACTTTTTGATGCTGCACTTTCCACCTGATCGCGATTCTGGTTCATTTTCTTTTCTCCCTCCATAGTCTTCCTTAGTAGACGAAGCTCTTTTATGTAGTAATGAAGCCTATCTATGACCAAAGCAAGAAACAATGTGAACCCTGCATTTGTAACACATGAAGAAAAAAAATACATTATTTACCAAAAATAGTCGATTATATGAATCTAAATTATCGAAGATTATATTCACCTAAGAGCGAGGCTTCTAAGAGATGATTAGCCAACAAAACTTGATCAGTTGGATTAACAGTTCCAGAATCAGTTGCGCGATTCTGCATTAGAGTGACGTTGAACAAGATGGAGACTAAAACCACGAATAATGTTCCTCCAGCACTTTTTACTATGACAGGTCCTCTCCCTTGCTTCGATTTATCTAATGCCATCAAAACAGGTTTCCTTAAAGGGGTTCGGAATATGAGGGTCAATATCACAAGCACTTCAAGAAATACAAGCGCGAATAATGGCTGAATCATCATTATTCGTTGTTGTTGTTGTGTTGTTAATTGTTATGATTTATTAGTAAGGTGAAAAGGAAAAATATTTAACTCAAGTTTTGCTCGAAGCGTGTTAGTAACAAGATGCTTAGGGACTAAGAAGCAGCAAAGAACAAGGGAAAATGCTTATTTACTTGTGGTTTGGTTTAGGAATGTGTGTGGTGGCACGTAAACGGAGGCTTCTTTTATTCATCCTATGAAATTGTCAAAGGGAAGAGTTTTGTTTTGGTTCTACTTTCGTCTCAATGATTAATTTCAAGTCTTAAATATAATAAAATTAGTGACATAAACTTCAATTTCAACAAGATGTTTGTATTTTTTTTTCTTTTACTTGTTATTTATAAGGTATATCATTTAAAAATTTATGACTAATATCAAGATGTGAGTAGTTTAATTGAAGATTCTATAATATTTCATATTTTCTTTTGAAATACAAATCTTTTACTTTTTCTCCACAAACTACATAAATTGCCAAGAACACGTTAATATGTGTGCTCAGAATTAACATTGAATTGGAGGGTGTTTTTGTTATTTAAGATTTTCCACTTTACACTTCCATGCTTCAATTATGTTGTACTAAATGTTATATTGTGTATACCTTTTTCATTATTGACAAAATATTTCACACATAAATGTCAATAAATGTCCGTAGGGGTGTATAAAAACTGAACCCAAAAAATGGTTACTCGGTTATTAGGTTTTTAATGGGTTTATTAAAAAAAATTATTGGGTTATTGGTTCGGTATCATTTTTTATTATTGGGTTATTGGGTAAACCGATAACCCAAAAAGACGATAATAATTTATTATTTTATCCTTCTTAAGTATTAAATTAATAATTTAATATATAATTAGACAATATAACTATATCAAATTATTAGTAATCTACCAATTTCACACTAAACCGCTTTACTAGATTTTACTGTTTACTCAAAACCTAAAGATTAAAGTAAGGGGTTCACAGTTGTAGCTATTTGATTTTAATTTTAGTTTTAGTCTTGTTGGACTATTTTATTTTAGTTTTAGTTTGTAATCGTAGGTTGTAGCATTTGCAAATTTGTAAAGGTCTGTAATTTGATTAACATAAAAAAATGAGAAAATGCACAGTACACCTTCAACTTATACCCGAGATCCCAGAGACATACTTATACTATACTAAGGTCCTATTACCTCTCTGAACTTATTTTATAAGTAATTTTCTACCTCTCTTTGGATTATGTGGCACTAGCTTGAAAAAAAAATCAATCATCGTGGAACCCACAAGATAGTGCACGTAGGCAAAAAGGGGTAGAAAATTATTAATAAAATAAGTTCAAGCGGTAATAGGACCTTAGTATAGTGTAAGTGTGTCTTTAAGATTTCGGGTATAGGTTGAGGGGGTACTTGTGCATTATCGCTAAAAAAATCACATACTATGTTTTGGTGGTAATTACAGCCTTCATACTATATTTTCTCTTATTGATGCAATTTCTCATTATCTTTCTTGTTTCACTATATCAAAGCATTTAGAAAAATGAGAAGGCATATAATAACATTTTCTTATTGGGTAAACCAAAAACTGAATCGATAATGATCAAAAACCGTTAAACCATTAAAGAATATCTAATTGGTTTGTTATTGAGTTAGCATATTTAAAAACCAAAATCAATAAATCGAATTAATAATATATAAAACCGAATCGACAATGCACACTTCTAAATGTACATACTTAAATGTCAATAAATGTTTTGTGTAGCAACCTTTGATTCTATCCAATAATAAATAAAACCGAATGGACAATGCACACTTCTAAATGTACATACTTAAATGTCAATAAATGTTTTGTGTATCAAATGACATGTGCATTCTACAAAAATTATCATATCATGACCAACTCTTTATTTGATTTACCACTTATCTACTTATATAGGCATGTGAAAGTGAGGGAGAGAAAGGCTCGCGACTTGGATTAAATAAAATGTATTAAGGAGAAAAAAGTATTAAGTGTTGGTGGATGACAAACGTATTTCCACAAACTTTTGAATGAAGAATTAAAAAGGACGGAGAGATCATGTTGGAAGAACGCACTCTGAAAGACATCAGAACTTTGAGTAATGTAGCGGTTTTAAGGTTGAGAAGGTTAGACATGCTATTAGTAAGATGAGCAGGGAGAGAGCGACTAGATCCGATGAGATTCTTGTGGAATTTTGGAAAAGCACAAACAAGATATGTATAGAGTGATTGTCTGAGTTGTTTAATGCTTGGCCATACACACAAAAAAGGATGTGGATTATAATGGTCATATCCAAAACGGTAATGATTACAAGAATATTAAATTGCTAAGCTACACTATGAAGGTTTGAGAGAGTGATGGAGATGATGGTGACGAGAGGGGTGCCAATTTCTAAGAATTAATTCGCATGGACAATCGACTACCAAAGTCATCCATCTTATCTCGCGAGTGGTGGAGAAATATAGGTAATTAAAGGAAAAGGGACCTACATCATTGACCTTGAAATAACCTATGACAAAAATCTCAAGGGATGTCTTTTTAAGGCGTTTGAAGGCTAAAGTTTTCCTGATGGTTTATATTAGGGTGATAATAGACATGTATGATAGATTCAAGACTTTGCTTAGGAGAGTGGGAGGAGACTCTGAGCATTTTCTAGTTATGATGGGCTTACAATTCTTAGCCTTTTCGTATTTGCCTTTTGAGATAGATGAGTTGATGAGGTCTATCCAGGAGGAGATTTCATGGTATATCTTATTGTGGATGATAACATATTAATGATTGAGAAGACACATGACAAGGTTAATGCTAGGTTTGAGGTTTGGAATCAAATATTGGAGTCGAAATAGTTCACATTGAGCAGGACCAAAAATATTTGGAGTGCAAATTTAATGGTGCATTGGATGAAGCGGACATGGAAGTAAGACTTGTTACAGAGACTATATGCAAGAGAGAGTTTTAAGTATGTTGAGTCAATAATTCAAGTTGGTAGAACATCGACAATGATGTCACACATCGCATTAGGGCTGCATAGATGAAATGAAAGCTTGCCTCTAGAGTCGATCTTGTGTGTTAAGAAGGTACATCCTAAACTTAAAAGTAAGTTCTATAGAGTATTGGTCAAACCATTCTTGTTGTATGGAGTAAAGTGTTGATAGTGAAGAATTTTCATGTTCAGAAGATGTATGCCTTGGAGATGGGGATTTTGAAATTATTGTATGGGCTGTGAGCGAAAAGATTAGGAATGTAATGAAGTTATTTGGGAGCAAGTGGAAGTGGCTTCTTGTGGTGTACAAGATAAGGGATGCGAGATTGAGTTTGTTTGGACAGTGATGAAAAGGTGAACTGATGCCCTAGTGAGGAGGTGTGGATGGTTGATTGTAGGGGTTACATGATGGAACTTCATACTACCGAGGACATAACTCTAGATATGAAGGAGTGGAGATCGCGTATTAGGGTAGAAGGTTTGTTGTGTGGAATTTGAGATAATACGAGAGAATATAAACGCGAAAAACAAGACAACAG